CTCTTCTAATGTCTTAATATATCTGTAATATTTTCAATCTTCTTGCATAATTTCTTGGGATATGTTTTTCTATTTTAGTTATTTCTTCTTCTCTGTGTTGAATATTAAAGTTAAAATTTATTTTCCCAATCTGATTATTCATTTCTATAGGCTCTTCTCATTTTGGTGACGATATCCTTTCTTTATTTGAACATTTTATTCATTGCTATTCTACAATCTAAGGAGCTCTGTTAGTGTAGTGGTTGAGTGTGGATGCTAACCCAAGCTTATTAGCAGTTTGAAACTACCAGCTATTATGCGGGAGAAAATTAGGCTTTCTGCTCTCATAAAGATTTACAGCTTTGGAAACCCTATACAAGGTTGCTATGAGTCAGAACCAACTCCACAGCACATAACCACTACCATTCTACATTTTTCAGTCCTGATGTGGCTTTGCAGGTTGATGTGCTAGACTGCAGTGTCAGTTTGATCTGCAAGGTCAGTGGTTCAATCACACCAACCACTCCTCAGAAATCCTATACAGGGTTGCTATGAGTCAGAACCAACTCAAAGGTACTTAACAACAATTCTATCTTCTGTATCTGGTCATCCCAATTTCTGTAGTTTTTGGAGGACCTGAATCTCTGCTGTTAACTTTGATATTGGCATTTCCCCTAGGGTTTATTCCACTTGTCCTTGCTTACCACCACAATGACTCCCTCACCTCTGACATGAGCTTCCTATTGGTTTACAGAGCATATCATCGGTTGTACATTCAACAAATCTTACACTTTGTTCATTTCAATGATTGCAATCCTCCCCCCTCCATGTAACAGGTATTCTACTCCATCCCTGTGGTTTTTTTCCATTCCACTGTCTTTCCCAACCCTTCTGAACTTTTCCTTAGGTAAATGTTGTCCATTTGATCTTGAATGGTTGAGCATTTAATGGTGAGCATACTTTACTAGTGTGGCTTTCCCACCTACTTAGCTACCATTTGGCTGAAAGAAAATTATGTCATGAGGGTTAGTTCTGTTCCAGACCTGAAGGGTGGTCAAGGGCCATAGTCTCACGTTCCTCCAGTCTCTTTCTGACCAATGAGTCTTTTTTTATTTTTTAAAATAATTTTAAGTTTTGTTCTATATTTTATATTTGGTGGGTTTCCTAAAGACCTGCCCTAACTCTTGTGAAACTAGTGGTACTTCAAAGAGTATGTTCTAGTTATTTGGAATGAGTGGATTTTCTCAGAATATTGGATTTCAAATTGGTATATACACTGAAGGTTTGCAAAGACTTTCCAAAGGCATGGATAGTTTTAGGAGACTCAGTTTTCATATTCTGAAGTCCATATATGTGTGCTTGCCAAAAATTGATATGCTGGGGAATAAGCTACATTCATGTTACTTCTTATCCCACTTTTTAAAGAAAGGCTGACATTTCAACCAGGGTTAAAACAATTCCTGGGTGCAATATAGTAGGATGGATTCCTGGTGTGGAGCTGTAGGATCAGTACTGGATTGCAAAACACAAGGTCATCAGTTCAAACCCACCAGCTGCCCTTTGGAAACCCTATACAGGGTTGCTATGAATTGAAATGAACTTGATGGCACCTAATAATATAGTGGGATAAATAAAAATATTGACATCAGAGAAGCTTTCATTAATAATTAAGCAAGAGATCTTAACCCTTGTCATGTATATTTTTTAGTATATATTTATGCTACATATATTTAAATTTTATTACTTTTATAAGGGCTTGACTTTAGAATCAGTCTACTTGACCTGTGTTAGATTGTTTTGAATTTGTTATGGTGGTGGTGGTGGTGGTGATGTGCCATGGAGTCAATTCCAACTCATAGTGACCCTGCATATGGTTTCTGAGGCTGTAAATCTTTATGGGAATAACAAGTCTCATCTTTGTCCTGTGGAGTGGCTAATAGTTTTGAACTGCTGACCTTGTGGTTAGCAGACCACTTCATAATGTATTCTCCTACCAGAGCTCCTTTGAATTTAGTATATAATTGGAGCCATTTAGATTAGTGATGTTGTTAAGTGCCATCTAGTTGGTTTCTGTATAGGGTTTCCGAGGAGCAGCTGGTGGGTTTGAATTGCTGACCTTGTGGTTCACAGTTCAGTGCTGATCCTACAGCACCACACCACAAGTTCTAGGTTAGTGAGACTTCTTTTAAATATAACTGTAATGTTTTATGGAACAATCAAAATTTTCAAAATACATTGGCTATAACCCTCACATTAAAATCTTGTATTATTGCTTTAGATTTGGTGTGCTTTAGTCATTATGGTAACTAAAATCTATTTTGTCAAATAACATAAGTTTCATTCCTAGTAAGACCTAATGGTCATTTTCTTTATCCTGATGAATTTTTGATATTTTAGAAATCTGTGAACAAGAATTATTTATAATTATGAAAAATTTCACATGTCAGCTTTAAAATGTACAGGGAGGTATATGAATTTTCAAAACAAATGTTTTTAACTTTTTACTGTGAATTGATTGAAGGTTTGCAGCACAAATCATTAGTTTTACATTCAACAAATCATATGCTTCATTTCATTTCAATGATTGCAGTCCCTCCTGTGTAACATCTATTATCCCACTTCCTTCCTATGACTGTTTCCATTCCACCTTCTTTCCAAACTCTTCCAAACAAAGGAATTTTTTCCTTAGGTAAATGCTGCCCTTTTGATCATGAGTAGTTGACCATCCCATGCTGTGCCTACCTCACTAGCATTGTTGAAAACGCTTTTAAAGAATGCATAAGCAAAACTATTTGAGGTTGTCCACCTCAGAGCTCCTAGTTAACCACTATTCTATTATAAGGAGCTCTGGTGGCACAATGGTTAAGTTAACCAGAAGATCAGTGGTTCAAACCCATCACCAGCTTCTAGTGATTGGCTTTTGTAAAGATTGCTGTTGTTAAGTGCCGTTGAGTTAGTTCCAACCCATAGCGACCCAGTATAGGATTTCCAAGAGCAGCTGGTAAACTTGAACCACCCACCTTGTGGTTCAAACCGACCTTTCAATCCAGTGCATTTACTCACAGCACCACACATCCTACAGTTCTACTCTGTTCTGTCAGATTACTATGAATTGGGGTTAATCTGACAACACACAAGAGAAAATAACATAACATACCTATTATATTTTTGTTCAAATATGTGTCTTTATATGTACTGTAAGCTCCTTGATGATAGTGGTTGGATGACACAAAGCCAGTGTTTTTTTCATGAACTAATGATTAGATATAGTGAGCAAAGTAAAAGGGAGTCATAGGAGACCCTGAGGTTTAAATCTAAGTCACTGAGAGGACAGAGTGCCATTGACAGAAGAAGTTACATAGGAGAAGCAAGTTCAGAAAGGCAGTTGGTGAATGCAATTTGTTTATAAAAGTTTGATATACTGGCAATCCTTTCAGGTAAAGATGTATCACAGGAGGTTAGAAAAGTGAGACAACAGCTCAAGGGAGACGATGACTCAGAGATAGAGAAATCAATTCAAGAGTTATTCACTTTGGAAGCATAAGGATTAATTAAATAGACTGAGGAGAGGATGGAAAGGAGACAGAAGAAATAATCAGTAAAGTAGGAAGACAAACAGATTTGTCACAGATGCTAGGAGAGGAAAGTGACAAGAATTAGGTACTATGCCAAGTGATTTCGAATATAGAAAACTGGGAAGAAGCCATTAAATTTGTTGACCAAGTTCTTACTATTCATACTTTTAGTTTGCTATGAACAAAAGGATCTGAGGTAGTTGCAAAGGTCTTATTGGATAATGTCCGTCTCCCCATAACTTTTCATTATCCTTGGATCTCTTTAGTATATTACCCTACTTCTCAAAATTCTATCCCCAAAAAACCCACCTAAAGTAAGTTCCTAATGAGTAACTGGATTAGTCCTTTTCAGATATATTAACACAGAAAATTCTCTTGTCCTCTCATTAATTATGCCAATAATTCATTACAAACTAACCTAGCTAACATAGCCATTTCTATTCTTTTGCTCTAAAAATACTTACAAATTTACATTCTCCAGGGGGAAAAAAACCACACACACTGATTTAATCAGGATCAGATGGATTTTTTTTTTTTCCACATCAGTTCTTTGTGTCACCATTTGCATGGTGGGTGTACTGAGTATGTTATGATAATATCCATGGTTCTTAGTTTCAGACAATTTAATTCACTTAAATCACTCACAGTATCATTGAGATGTCTTGAAAAACAAGCTCAGCTTTCAGGAATAACTCCCAAAATCAGTGTAGAATTGCCTGGCTGAGGGAAGTGTTGTTTCTTCTGCTGTACAGAATCAGGAAGCTGTTGCCCCAGTTTCTGGCCTCAGAACCACAGCACGTCTGCTATAATCTGTACCAGCAGAATGAATACTCCACACAGGGCCAATATCACCCTTTCAGTTATGTCTTGTATAGATGCAAGATGGGTAGAATCTAAGGCACCTTGTGGCAAGGGAAGCTGGAAAATGAGTGTTTAGATTCTCTCTGGAGAATGTATAGTATGGGCAAGTGCCAGAATGAGGAAGGAGTGTTCAAACTAGTTTGGACAGCCACAAGGACAAACATCCACTCCTGTTGATTGCAAATCATACAAGCTCTACAATTTCTTTTTAGATTGGAGTGAAAGCTCTGTTTCGGAGGCTGTACCGCTTTGTAGGAGTGGAAAGCCTCATCTTTCTCCTCTGGAGCAGCTGGTGGGCTTGAACCACCGATTTTGTGGTTTGCAGTGCAGTGCTAAACAGTGCTTAAAACCTTGCCTAGTTGGTTTTAAGTTTCTTGGTTCTCAGTGCATAACAGATCATTCTCCATTATAATTTCAGCAATTCTTAAGCAATAAATCTTATTCTGGACTGCACACTGGTTTGAATTAATGGTATTTTGAACAATGTACATAGATAGAGTCAGTGGATAATAGCAATTGCTGTATAAATTGCTGTATAAGCTAGTACTATTTTCCAAACATCTCACATATATTATCTTGTTAAAGGTTAAAAGTGAAAGTGAATGTTAACCATAGCAGTTTTGATTTGAAATTCTCAGCAAGAGCTCCTTGTCTTCAGGAACAAAAGGAAGGAAAAACAGTTATTTACAAGTAAGCGTATGATTTAATACTTTTTTCTTTGCTCATTTAATCTTTTTGGTTGTGTTGCCACCACCAGCCATCCTGTTGGGTTGCAGGAGTCAGTGCCCAGGCATGTATCAGGCTCCATTGTGGCATGACATCAGCACCTCCCACTACTGTGTTGGGGTGAGGTAGCAGGTTTACAGGTATAAATAACAACTAGCTCTGGTAGCGTAGTGGTTACGAATCGGGCTGTGAACCTTAAGGTCAGCAGTTCGAAACTATCAGTGGCTCCGCGGGAGAAAGATGAAGCGTTCTGCTCCCGTAAAGATTTACAGCCTCGGAAACCCTGTACAGGGTCGCTATGGGTCGGAACCGACTTGATGGCACTTAACAACAACACATGTATAACTAACAAATGCAGAAATGGAAAAAACATGTTAAATTGTACAAGAGGGCTTCAAAATGTTCGTGGAAAAATTCCATTATCTTTAAATTCCATCAATTTTCCCACACAGTTTTTGAAACCCCCTTATATTAAAAATAAAAGATGCAAATTTTTATATTGAATTGGCACAATTTGGGGGGTTTTAACTAGTTTTAATGGATAGTAGATATTACAATATTGTATCCAGAGTGAAAAAAAGTTATAAAAGAGAAGTGATACATACTACTATGTACGTATGGAGGACTAGGCAGACATGGAACTCTACAACAAAGATAGGAGAGACCAAAATAACAGGCACAGGTGAAAATCCTGGAACTCTGAACTTCCAAAGAAAGGTTAGAGAGGTGAATTGAGTGCTTGCTGGTAGGGGAAGCTGAGCAGGGATGGTGAGAGAGGAGACTGCCTGGTGAAGGACAGGCTAGATGTGGCTCAGCCATCTTGAACCTTTGTGAGCAGTTTTAGCGAAAGAAACTAGCCTGGAAGAGAAGAGTCACACATGTGACTGGAAAGGTACGATGTCTTCTTTTTCCCAATGCTTCTTTGTTGATTAGAGGTGTGGCCAGCTGCCACCCTCATTTACCCCCAGCACAGCCCCCGCTCTCCAGGAGCTCAGAACCACATAGTTGGGAACCACACCAGTGTAAGGTGGGGTGGCTGTGTTGCTTTTGTGGGTCATTTGGTGCCTGGATTCATTTGGGTTTGGTTTAGGACCTACAGAACCCACAGAGCCACCAGACCAGTATTTAACCAGTCACCTTGCCCCCTGCTGCCCTGTGGTCTTACCAGACACTGAAACCAGCTCCATCAAGGGCCCCCACAATCTACTTCCAGATTGAGTGCCCTGAACATAAATAACACTAAGGCCAATAGGAACTCATCTAAGACTGGGAACTCTACTGCAACATCCCTCATATACCCACTTCATGAGCTCTGTCTTGCAGGAAGACCCCTTTACCCCCTGAATTTTCTACTCTCTAGGTCCTCCAGCTGCTGCTCTGGTTTTTGTTATTTGGTTTAGGGTTTGTTTTGTTTTTTCCCTTTTGTTGTTTCATTGTTTTGTTTGTCTATTCTTTCTTCCCCTTCTTCTCTTTCTATTCCTTTGAATTTCATCCTTTCTGTCTCAGCTTTTGGAGTCCTGGTGTGGCATTGCAGGTTAATGCGCTGGGCTGCAAAGTTGGTTTAAACCAAAGGTCGGCAGTTCAAGCCACCAGCCACTCCTTGGAAACCCTATACAGGGTCGCTATGGGTCGGAACCAGTTTGATGGTACTTAACAACAATAATCTCTGCTTTTGTTTTTCCTTCTTTTCTTCTGTTTTTATTTCTTCTCTTCTTTTTTTCCTTTTCTATAGCTTAATTTTCCAGTTGCTCTTTTCTTTTTAGTTATTCTCAAGTGTTTTTTCTATTTCTTCTTTTTATTTTCTCTTGTTTTACTCTCCTACAGTTCCATTTCCCTGTCCTTATTTTGTCTTTATAGTTATCTTTTTGTCTTTATATTATATATATTTTTTCTGGGTGCCACATGTTTTTTGGTCTTTTTTTTCTCTTTATTATTTTATCATTTCACTGTTGGTTCTGTGTTTGTTTACACTGTTTTGTGTTCTTATGTTTGTATGTGTATTGGGGAGAGGTTTTCTTTATTCCACTTGACAGGAGACAGCAAACATACCTATACAGTCCAGTCATAACAGTATCTTCCAGCTCCACAACTGGGCAAGAGCCAATACCAGCTCCCATATCACCTGATCAATGATAGACAGCAGCCAACACCAGCCAAATCCACCATAAACTGATGTGCACAAATGGTGAACAAGAACAGTATACACATTTCCATTCTCTAACTACCACCACAGGAGACAGTTGTCGAGAGCCTAGGAGTGCAATATACACTCATCAAATACAAATACAACTACCCCATAATGCCACAGAGAAAACAGACAATTTTAGTGCAAACAAGAAATAAGAGAGAATGGCTTAAACAAATGACTAAGATTCAGAGCCAAAAAATGTTTCTGAGGAAAAAAATGGAACTATTGAAAAAGAACTCAAAAGAATGATATTTAGATACATTCAAAGAATTGACAGAAAGATCAAGGACAGCAAGGCGAGCACAGAAAAAACTTTAGGAAGTTTTCAGTAAAACACTCTAAGAGCAAACTGACAAAATAAATGCAAATTTTGAACCAATATAAAACCTGGAATTAGAAACCCAGGAGATTAATTCTAAGATTTCAGAAATGAATAGTACAATGAAAGGGCAAAGGAGTAGATTTGAAGCAATGGTAGCCCAAATTAGTGACCTCAATATTAGTATGCTAGAAGAAAAATTAGAATCTCTCAATACTAGTATGCTAGAAGAACAATCAGAAAAAAAAAGAATGAAAGGGACACTTTGAAGAGGAACAACTTATGGGTGAGTAGAATTCCAGAACAGGAAGAGATGAGAGAAGAACAGAGAAAATTGTTGAAGCGTTGTTGAAAGAAAACATCCCTAACATCATGGAAGATGAGAAGACTAGTTTTGTTTGTATATTCTTTCTTCCCCTTCTTCTCTTTCCATTCCTTTGAATTTCATCCTTTCCGTCTCAGCTTTTGGAGACCTGGTGTGGCACTGCATGTTAATGTGCTGGGCTGCAAAGTTGGTTTAAACCAAAGGTCAGCAGTTCAAGCTCACCAGCCACTCCTTGGAAACCCTATACAGGGTTGCTATGGGTCAGAACCAACCCACTCAAAAAGCTAAAGGAACTCCAAACAGGGTAGATCCCAAAAGAAAATCACCAAGATATATCATAAGCAAATGCTCCAAAACCAGACAAGGAAAGAATCCTGAGAGCAGCTCAGGAAAAATGAAAAATTACCTACAAAGAAGAACCAATAAGACTAAACTCTGATTTCCCAGCATAAACCATGCCAGCAAGAAGGCAATGGTATGTCATATACAAAACTGTGAAAGAAAAAAAATTGCCAACCAAGAATCATATACCCAGTAAAGCTGTCCCTCAAATACAACAGTGAAATTAGGACATTTCTTGATAAACAGAAATTAGACAAATTTGTAATGACCAGACCAACTTTACAAAAAATACTAATGGGTGTTCTTTGGACTGAGAACCACCAACAACAGACAATAGCCTAAGATTACCATATGTGGCAACAGCAACCAGAACTCAATCCAGGTATAGAAATATTTAAAGTAAAACAAACCTAGAATGCTGAAAAATCAGATTTCAATTTATAATAATGTCAGCTATAAAGCAAAAAGAGGGAATAGCTTAGATACATAACTTCCAAATGGCAAGGAGGTCAAGTAGGTTTCAAGATAAAACTGTTTTAAGCAGGTAAAAAATTAATAAATTATAGGGTAACTTCAAAGAAAATTAGTACACTTGCACATCAAAATAAAAAAAGAAAATCAGAAAAATTTAGTAAACATTAACACAAGAGAAATTAAAGTGAAAAGGAAACCCACTAACAAAATGAACTCAGCAAATGATGTGGAATAAAGAAACCAGTAGAATCACAAAACAAACAAACAAACGAAAAAACAGCAAAATGACTGCAATCAATTCATACCTATAGATAATTATACTGAATGTAAATGCATTATGTGCGCCAGTCAAGAGACAAAGCAGAATGGAGATACAATGTTCTGATGTCATCCCACAACTCGTCTATTCATTAGTGTTTAATGAGCAAATCTATTCTTGAGATGATATCTAAAGGGTCTCTATGAGTCGGAAGTGACTCGATGGTGCTTAACAACAATACTCAAAGTTGTATTTTAGCTCTTGAAGCTTTCTTTTCATTTTCTTCAACTTTAACCTGACTTGCATATGAGCAATTGATAATTTGGTGTAGATGGCCCCTGGTCTTTTTTTGGCTTATGATATTGAGCTTCTCCATCATCTTTTTTTGGCTTATGATAGTTTCACAGATGTAGTTGATTTGATTCCTGTACATTCCAATTGGCGAGGTCCACATGAATAGTCGTTATTTATGTTATTGATAAAAGGTATTTGCCATGAATTTGATCTTTCAAAATTCTAGCATGCAATCTCCAGCACTGTTTCTATCACAAAGGCCATATTTTCCAACTACTGATCCTTCCTCTTTGTTTCCAACGTTCACATTCCAATCACCAGTAATTATAAATAAGTCTAGATTGATTGCATAGTTAATCAGATTCAGACTGCAGAAGTTGATAGAATTCTTCAATTTCTTCATCATTGTTTTTAGTGATCTGTATGTAAATTTGAATATTAATTGTATAAACTTGTCTTTTTTGTAGAGGTATGGATATTAGCCTATTATTGGCACTATAGCAGATAGTGTTCCAGCTGTATCCATAACGTTCTCAGTGGCTAAGTTTCTGGAAATAGTCCTTCACAATCTGCCTAAGTCTGGAAGTTCCACTAAATAAAACTTCCGTAGATGTCCCTGCAAGTATTTAAAGTACTGGTGTCCTAGCTTCTAACATAACAGCAACATACAAGTCACCACTATACGACAAACTAACAGTTTAGTGGTGGAGACTTACTTTATGACCCAACAATTCCATTCTGAGTGCAAAAATATGAAGCGGCAACCATTCTCCCCACAGCCCTTTCTTTTCAGCTGGGTTTGATAATCCATTGCAGTGGCCACACAGAACTTAGACATCATACACACAGTTGTGGAGTTTATTAGGAAAGTTAGGTTACAGTTAGAGGTCAGAAATGCTCAGGGCACAGTTGTTCTAGTCAGCTGCAACTGAATGCCCATAGCACTATACCATGAGCCTGAAGGCACTTGGCTCTATTCTGTGGGTTAGCAAACTTAGCTCCCCAACCTAAGTGCCTGGAGGCGCCTCACTCTACAAAAAAGCTATCTGCCCAATGTCACTCAGCTTTACTTGCTCCATGGGCTGGGAAGTCCATTGCTCTGTCTTGTGATCTGGTCTTGGTTCTGTTGTTTCTGCTTCTCTGCTACTCAGTTGTCACAGCTTTCTGTCCATGGGTCGAGGAGGTTCAGTGTGCAGGGATCTCAGAGCCCAAAGAAGGTGCTCCACTCCTGGCTCTTTTTCTTTCACTGGTAGGCAGTGAATTTCCCCCTCCCTTCTTCTGAGATGGTTTATTTTATACCCATGCTACAGTTTCAAGTTTTTACAATTAACTTTACTAACATCCACAGCTGAATCATGTCACCCTATCAGTATCTTCTCCCACCATCTCTTACCCAGACCCAGCAGGGCAGAAGTGTTGTTTGGTGGGTGTTACAGACTATGGCTAGAAGAGACATTAGATAATTCACTACATCACACCTAGGTTTCTACTCAGGAAAAATGAAAATATACAACCACACAAAGACTTGTATGTGAATGTTCTTAGCAGCTAAAAAGTGAAAATAACCTAAATGCATATTTAGCCGAATTACAAAACTTGTGAAAGGACAAACAAAAAATAGTATATTGATATGGAAACTTATACAACAATAAGAAAGGTATAAAAAATGGATACATGCTACAAAATAATTATATTCAATAAAGAAGCTACTCATGAGAAATCATAAATTGCATGATTCTATTCATGTGAAATATCCAGAAAAGTCAAATATATGGAGACAGAAATTAGTAATTTGTGATTGATTAGGGCTAAGTTGCTAATAAAGAGTGATTATAATGGCATGTTTTCTGTTATAGCACTGTAGGGTAAGCACTGGACCCCAAGGTTAGTTTGAATCACAAAGTTGTCAGTTCAAACCCACCATTTGCTCCTCAGAAACCCTAGGGAAGGTCGCTATGAGTGGGAACCAACTCAACAGCACTTAACAACAGCGTATGTGGGCATGAGGTTTTTGGGGTTATAGAAATGTTCTAAAATTAGGTTCTGGTGATGATGGCACAACTCTGTACATAGACTTGTTGTTTTTATTAAGTGTCATCGGGTTGGTTCCAACTCCTAGCGGCCCTGTACAGGATTTCTGAGGAGTGACTGGTGAGTTTGAACTGCCAACCTTGTGGTTCAAATCAACCTTGCAGTCCAATGCTTATCCTACAGTACCATGCCAAAAATAATTCATTTAAACACTTAAAATGGGTGAATTTTATGATAATTATATATCAGTGTTGTGCTGTAGGATCAGTATTGGACTGAGAATTACAAGGTCAGTAGTTCAAACCCATCACCTGCTCCTCGGAAACCCTAAACAGAGTCAGACTGATTTGTTGGCACTTAAAAACAACAACAACAAAGCTACTGACAATAATGATAATAATAAAGAAACTACCAAATGGGGGAAAAAATGAGGTTAATCATTTTTCTTTTTCCCTAACAAAATAAATAAGCTGCAGTAGTTTCCCTTTCCTTTTCCTGAATAGGCTCAGAATTTGGTTAATAAATACAGTGTGGCAGAAGCTGGAGACCTTTTAGAGATGCTTGATGCTAGTATGACCAACATAGAGAACATGTAACTGCCTCATAAGGATCTTAGTGTGTTAAAGTAGAAAGAGATGACTGTTAGAGATGGAGCTGGCCATGCTGGAGTTCTCAGTGTTCTTGAGGTGTGGTGTAACAATTTACATCTTTGTCTGTTGAATAGAGCTGAAATTGAGGGAGACAGAGAAGGTACTGAAACAAAGCCCTATTCATATGGTAGCCGAAGATGGAATGATATAGGACAATCAACACTTTGGTGGTGGTTATGTGCCGTGGAGTTGATTCCAACTCATGGCAACCCTGTACAGGGTTTCCGAGGCTGTAAATGTTTATGGGAGCAGAAAGCCTCATCTTTATCCTGAAGAACAGCTGGTAGTTTCGAACTACTGACCTTAAGGTTCGCAGCCCGATTCGTAACCACTACGCTATCCATTTAATTTCTACAAGTGATTGTAGAAGAAGGGCTTTTGTCTTCAAATACCTCTTCCAACAAAGTGAGACCTAAAGGTGAATGAGAATATTATGTTGTTGAAGTACATGGAGACTAATAGTTTAGACTTAAGACCTAAATCTGTGAGCTCCCTTCGAAAGAGGAGGAAGATTAGATGACCTTCTGTGAATTAGGGAAGAATCCCAGTTATAATAGCAGGGTGGTGAAGGCATGTTTGTCTTTGACAGAGTGAGACCTTCCTAGGGAATATATGATGGACAACTCTGTAAGGGGTCATTTACATGAAGGGACTCTCACTCAGTTGTTTGATTAAGCAGGAAAGAGACTTCAAATGAAAATATTACTTGAGCAAGGTAAAGCTATTTATATGGAGTTTCTTTTCATGAAAAAAATATAAATTCATATAGAATTCATCAAATAAAATTACTAAATGTTACAATCAAATTGATAAAATATTTAAAATAGCTCTCTTTTCTGGTTCTTTTCTATAGAAACAAGGAAGCACCTTTCCTGAAAACGAAACCACTATATCATCAGGAGGGAAAGAATCTAAGCCCCAAAGAGGATGATACTGAAAGGCTCTTTTCTTCCCTGAACCTCAGCCAGGAGGTCAAAAGGGATGAGAATCAGGATGTGGTGAGTAAGAACTGGGTTTTCCCTATTTTATAACACATAAGACTGCAATTGGTGATACGCAAATCTGAGCAACTGGGAAATTCTCTGCATGACTGGCTTCTGAAGAGAAAGGAGACAGAGGGAAAAGAGAATGGGGAAAGATAGGGAGGGAGGGAAGAAGAGAAAGAAAAAAAGGGGCTGAAGAACAAACAAGATGGCGGATCAGTGAAAATGCAGTGAGGAACTCTACTGGCAACAACACAGAATATAGGAACAAGCAGGCTCAGGGGATGGTCCCAGAACTCTGAACCACATATAAAGGAATATTTAGAAGGTTGGAAGACTTACAGCTGGGGAAGTTTGTGGCAGAAGCAAGAAATCCATTGCTTTCTGGTTTGGGACGCTCAGCTGCTCCAGGAGCCGCCATCTTGGGTGAGACCAAGCGGGGGAAGGATCGGAGCGGCCACAGACGCCTGGCAGAACCACAGAGATAAAGGTGTGGACATTCTTTTCTCTTGGTAGCTGTTCATTGGTCCCTTGCTGTCTGCACACCTCCATTCTGCTAACTATAGGGGTGCTGGAGCTAGTGGATACCCCATTCCCATCCTCAGAGGGTTCTACTACGCATGCACACAGATCTCTTCAAAATTTAAAGAGACAGTTTCCACTTAAAACCAAATGGCCACATTCGGCCCTGAACTGTTTATAACCATATAAAAAAGGCATGAACGGGGATTGTGGAGTGGGACAAGCAGACAAAAAAGGAAATAGGCTGAAAATTAATTCCTAAGTTACATCACAATGACCAACAGTGGCATCTTGAAATTTCTCAAGAAGAAGAGTGAAAAGCAAAGCCCATTTCCTGATCACATCTACCTGGAGGCAATCAGAAAGTATAAAAAATACCAAAATACATACCCATCTAAGTATTAAGGCCACAGATAACTCCTGAATATATGCCAAAAAACAGAAATAGATGACCATATCTGGACATGTCCAGAAATGAGATAAAGTGACTGAGGCAAATCAGCTGGAAGTAGAACTACACTCCATACTGGAAGATGGGCAGACTTTGGAAACGCCAGACAAGGAATTCAGAAAAATGATTATAAAATGTATCAAAACACTATACAATGGAGTTGAGAAAAATAAGAAAAAAGTCAGGAAAGCACTACAGGAACAATCAAATAAGATAGATACAGCATTGTATACAATTCAAAGCCTACAGAAAGAGGTCCAAACAATTAATAATAGAATATCAGAGATAGACAATACACTGAAAGGGCAAAGGAGTAGAACTGAAGACGTAGAAGCCAGGACTAGTGAGCTAGAAGATAAATCTCTCAACACTACTAAGACAGAGGAGCAAATACAAAACAGGATAAAAAAAATCTAAAGAAGGCCTAAGATTGATGTTGGACAACATGAAGAGGAATAACATAAGAATTATTGGCATTCCAGAATAGGAACAATCACACAAGGCCACAGAAAAGATAGTTGAAGAGCTTCTGGAAGAAAAATTTCCTAACATCCTGAAAAGTGAAAAGATAAGCATTCAAGAAGCTCAACGAACCCCAAGATGATAGACCCTAAAAGACAATCACCAAGACATATAATAATCAAGCTCTCCAAAATCAGAGATAAGGATAGGATCTTGAAAGCAGCTAGGGAAAAGAGAAATATAACATACAAAGGCAAGCAAATCATATTAAGCTCAGATTTCTTAGCAGAAACCATGCAGGCAAAAGGCAATGGGGAGACATATATAAAACCCTGAAAGAAAAAAACTACCACCCAAGAATCCTCTACCCAAGCAAAGCTTTCAATCAAATATGATGGTGTAATCTAAACATTCCAGGACAAACAGAAGCTAAGGGATTTTGCCAAAGCCAACCCTGCTATGAAAAACATCCTAAAGGAAGTTCTGTGGACTGAGAACCAACAAGAACACACAACAACTGCAGAATGACGTACGTGGCAGCATTACCCTGATCTTAATTGACAATGGAAGAGTCAAGAACAGAATAAAATTATAAGAACAGAGGATCTGGGAGGTCAGTCTATGATCAAAACAATTACAATGTGAAAGAAGGTAAACACAGAGGAACAGAGACCCAGGTGGTGGGAAGGTCAGGTAGATTACAGGATAAAATAGACTGTCTTAAATGGAGGCTAGAACTAATGGAATATAAGGTAACCACAATGGGGTTGGGGTGGGGGGGTTTACTTTGGGTGTTAGGGAGGGCAATACAAGAAGGGGGGAGGAGGCGGAAGAACAAGATATATAGGGGAACACTGAGACAGGTTTGCATGGCCTAGTGGAACATAGGGAAATAGTGTTGCATACTCAACCTTGGAACAACAGAGCTCTGGGATACAGGGATCTACATATAGCTTGAAGAGGGTAAAGAATACTAAAATCCTTGACTGCCTTACAAATATTAGTTTCTCTTGCCTACTATTGTAAAATAGACACTTGAGTGGGATAGAAAGGAATGTTGGGAAACATGATCAGAGAAAACTTGTAAGCCCATCTTCAGCCTATAACTGATTGGAATACCTAAAAGGGGTTCTACAACTTGCCCAGTGAAACTGGCCTCATGCAAAGCCTTTACAGAGTATAGGACCTTAGGTGGAATCCTGAGTCCCATACACAACCTTGTGAGGTAAGACATTCCTACTAGAAAGGACAAGCAGACTGGAACAGCTACAGTGACAGAAGATACATCTTCATGATGAACCTGACCTATACTCAGAGTGGTAGTTACTCTAAATACCAACAGAGAGGGAAAGAGTCTTCAAATCAAGTATCAATGCTATCCGCTCTGTGCACAGGGTAGATAGGGATGGGCAACTTAGACATCAGCTACCTAAAATGAGGGGGCAATAAAGGCATTAAGTGACTGGCTTACAAGGTTTCAAGAGGGAGTTTAGTTTAAGAGTATGGGGGGAAAGAAAGAGTCCCCACTGAATAGCTGTCATCTTGTCTAGATGGGTCTGGTGAAAAGAGATGGGGATAAGATTTGTAAGATTCAATAGTGAATAACTGTTACCATGACTAATTGTGACTGCCACAATTGTAAAGGTAGAAGTTTTGGAACAAAAAAAGGGAAGTGGTTAATCTTACAGTCCAGAAACAGACAACCCTAGGATCATCAAGAGAGGAACACACAAGCAGAATGTGGGACCATATCCAGAGAAGCAGCAGTGCCAGAGATGGAGGCAGAGATGGGGGCATGGAGACGGGGAGCGGCAAGGGACTCTAGATTCACGGACTAAGAAGAGAGGGACTAAGAACTGGTGGCCAGGAATAGACTTGCAGAATGTGCCCTTTGGAGAAGTAAATTATTATATATGCCTGAGTGGGGTTTTTTGTTTGTTTGTTTTTAAAAAAGCTAAAGTGGATAGAGAGAAATACTGTTAACTGATGGTACATGGAGGGGAGTATAATCATTGTAATGAAACAAGGTATATGATTTGTTGAATGTAAAAATGATGATAAGCGCTGTAAACTTTCACTCAATCCACAATAAAAACCTTTAAAAAAAAGGGGTGGTGGTGGTGCTGAGAGGTAGGATTCCTTTAATCAGAGGGAAGGGAAAGAGTTGCCCTTGAATTCATTGAGGCAACACAAATGTAGGTGCCCTGTGGTGGATGAACTAAATGGTTTAGGATTTCACTGATTCGCACTCTCCACGAGTTTGGACCTTCTCTCTCACATTCAAGTGACGCTCAACATTTTGTTCCCTTTAATTCAGTCAGGGTAGGTAGAAAGTTTTCAAAAGGACCATGTACCAAAGTAGTAAAATAAAAATTTAAATGTATAGAAATACGAGTATTTACAGAGCATAGATTTTTGATGCCAAAGCAAATAATGTCAATCTTGGAGGCCATTTGAATGATTCAGACTACTGCTGACAGATCTAGATGTCATTTCTCTGTTTCAGAGATCTCTTTACATCCTGTGGAGATCCTAACACTTTGGAGTTTAGCTTCTTTTAAGAGTGGAATTAGAGGAGAAATCAGTGTTCTTCCCATCCTTCTGACCTCCCAGTTTGAAATCAATACATGAATGGCATATTTTCTGAGTATGCAGTTAATCTTTGCATCTTTGTTCTTTTCCAACTGTTTCTACATTTATCACTCTAAGGAGCTCTAGTAGCATAATGGTTATGAATTGGGCTGCAATTTGCAAGGTCAGCACTGACTCCATGTCACATGACAACAACAACAACAATCCCTAAAGGCTGGAGTCCTGATATGGCACTGTGGGTGAATGCGCTGGACTGCAGTCTGTTGGAACTACAATGTTGGTGGTTCAAACTCACCGGCTGCTCCTTGGAAACCTATACAGACAGGGTCACTAGGAGTTGGAACTGACTTGATGGCTCTTAACAACAACAACATTGCTAAAGAGTAAGGAAGTGATATTTTTGAACTCACTCATGGAAAGTTTATTAAAACTTGATTTTGTGGCGTCCTGGAGTGGCACTGGGGCTAATGCACTGGACTGCAAAGTTGGTTTGAACCACAATGTCGGTAGTCCAAGCTCACCAGTTGCTCCTCAGAAACCTTAGACAGTGTCACTATGGGTTGCAATTGACCCACTGATACTTAAGAACAACAATAGCATTGTCATATTCTGGTTTCATCCCATGTGTTTTCTTTTTTCCAAAAAGTTTTAACAAGCACCTATTCTGAACCAGCAGTGTTGGAGGAGTTGGAGTAAAAACAGATGAATCCCTGATTTTATGGAACTTGCATTTTGATGGAGGAGAAAGACAGTAAATAAGCAAATAAATGTCATATTTTGTTAATCAGTAGTAAGTGCAGTGAGGAAAATAAAATAGGTAACAGAGTAGGGAAGATGGAGGGATAGATAAAGGGGAATATTTTAAGTAGAGAAGTTAAGGAGGGCTTCTCTGAAGAGGAAATGAGGAGTGAGACATGAGTAGATTTGGGAGAAGAATGTTCCAGGCAGATGGACTACCACAACCAGAAACCTGAGATGGGAATGAGGTGGCATGTTCAGAAAACAGCAAGAAAAACCTGGTGAGGCTGGAGCATAAAGAGAAGAGAAAGGCCAGAGATAAGGTTGGAAAGGAGGCAGGGGTTGAAGGCCATGATAAGGAGTTAGAATGAAATCCAAGGTGTGAGGGAAATCCATCAAGTTTTGAGTAGGTAGGAACTATGATCTCATTAACATTTTTTTCCCCTTTGGTGGAGTAGGAGTAAGGAGTTAGAGCTAGGACAATGGCTAGGTCTAGGCTAGGCCTAGGACTCTGTGTAGTGTTAAGGTATTGTTGTTGTTTTTAAGTGCCTTTGAGTTGGTTCCAGCTCACAGTGACCCTGTATAGGGTTTCCAAGGAGCAGCTGGTGGGTTAGAACTGCCTACCTTGTGGTTTCAACTGACCTAGCAGTCCAATGCTTATAGGGACTGCGTTAGGGCTAGGAGTAAGCCTTGATCTAGTTTTAGGGTTACAGTTAGGCTTTTAAAAATTTGTTTTATTATCTTTTTTCTTGAAATCATTTTCATTTGAAAATTCTGTAATTCTATTCCCTCAGCTTTATGGTTGCTTTTTTGTTGTTACTGTAAACTGGAGCTGCTGGTTCCATATTTTCAATCTTTAGATTTGTTTTACTTTGTTGTTGTTGTTGTTAAGTGCTGTTAAGTTGGTTCCAACCTATAGCGACCCTGTATAGGGTTTCCAAGGAGCAGCTGGTGAGCTTGAACCGCCAACCTTGCAGTTCAAACAGCTTTGCAGTCTGGTGCATTAACCCACAGCGCCACACCAGGACTCCTGTTTTACTTTGAATCTTTCTATATCTGGGTTGAGATTGTCATGTATGTTAATCTCAGATTATTGTCAGCTATTGTTGGTTGTCTGTTCAATGATCTCCCTTTAGTGTTTTTTTGTAAGGTTGGTCTAGTTTTTATAAATTCTTTATTTTCTATTTATCTAGAAATGCCATAATTTTGTCATCATACTTGATAGACAGTTTTGCTGGGTATATGATTCTTGGTTGACAATTTTTAAATTTCGGATTTTTATATAATGTCATTCCATTTTCTTCTAGGTTGCATGGTTTTGCTCTTGTAGTGCTTTCCAGAATTCCTGTAAAGTTTTGTCTGTGCTTTCCTTGATTTCATCTGTAGTTTTCTTGATCATTCTCTGAATCCATTGAAGATACCTAATTATAATTCTTTCAAAGTCTATATCAATTAATTCTGGTACCATTTCTGTTATTATAATTTCTGACTCTGTATTGGTCACTTGTTTGAGGTTCTCTTGTTTCTTTGTATAAACTGAAATTGTCTGTTCTTTCTGAGACATTGTGGTATCACATTTGTATTTAATTGATGACTGTATGTCAATATGTTCTCAGGCACTCACCATATGATTCCTGGTGGCTGTGGTAGAGACTGGAAGTGTTCTCTGTTCACTATCTATGTAGCATAGTTCATGGTGGGCTCATGTGCCTCCAGAGGTGCCAAGTGCCACTGAGAGCACAGCAGAGACTGGCCAGGAGGTTGTGCCTAGGCCACTGGGCTGAGGATGGCCAGGAAACAAGGGAGAACCTCATACCCCTTGATGCCAACCTCTAGTCACCCCCTGTACTCCTAGGCTGCTATATTGACAGCTGCCCACAAACAACTCAAGGTGGCCAGTCAGAAATTCACCCATTTTCTTCTCTATTGCTGCTGCTTCTGTTCAGCTTCCTTTTCCAGTCATCACTCAATCCATCTCTCACTCCTCTGAAGCTCAGGGTTCCAAGGTCACCATCTGTATCTGTTTCTATTGATATCCTATGTCTTTGTTGCAGAGGGTTTACTCAGTATGTCTTCCTATTTCTGCCATCTTGCTCCCTCATTAACATTTTATGTAAAAGAAGTGTATAGTTGGTGTACAGAGAGCTGATTTTATGAGGGGGCATCACAAAGTTTATGGAAAAGTAGTAAGGATAGATATTGGAATTTTTCCATGAACTTTTTGAAGTCCCCCTTGCACAGTAGCAAGTGTGGGATCAGGGAGACCAGTTACGAAGCTAGTGCTATATGCCAGGTAATCTTATAAAGTGCTGAGAAGTGAACAATCTGATTGACATGTGAAGTGAGTGAAAGCAAGAAATCAACTATTTTGTCCAGAGCACTGGGTAGATTAAGGTCCTAGTCACTGAAGTAAGGGAAGTTTGAGGGGGAAAGCCATGTGGCAAGAAGAAAGAACAGAGGTGCAAAAGTCAGTTATGATCCTATCTGGGGAGCTTACATTCAAGATTACCTGTAACCATTACATTACATAAGGAGAATTTGTAGGACAGCTTATAAAGCAAAGGACTCCTGGTGGTACTGTGGGTTAAGCACTGATCTGCAAACTACAAAATTGGCAGATCAAACCAGCAACTACACCATAGGAGAAGGATGAGGCTGTTTACTCCTGTAAAGATTTAGCCTCAGAAACCCTAAGGAGCATTTATTTCTACTTTGCCATATAAAGTCACTCTGAGCTGGAATCAACTCAATAGCAATGTGTTTGTTTTTTGTCTTTTTATAAAACAACTTAATTTCCATCCCCTTACTGTCCATTTAAACCTATTCTGTGGGTATAGTTCTTCCTCTGTTTTGGACATTCTTGTATTAAAAAATTTCTTGGTTAAAAAGATAGTCTTGGTTTAATTACTATGTCCAATCTGTCATAGTGATCACACTTCACTTTTCATTTAAAGTCTCCTCTTCCCTAGCTTGGGAAGCTACAATGAGAATGGAGAGTAGGGTTGACATCTTTTTTCTTTCCCATTTGAGTCTTTTTATTCCTCATCCCCACATCTGTTCAGTGTCAAAAAGGGAAGGAGGAAGGAGAGGTAATGGAAGGGCAGGGAAGTTGTTAACTATTAATATTATGGTAATCGATTTTAGCGTAAACATTCTCTAGGCTTAGCAGATATCTAAAGCTAATGTTTTCAAGTGATCTTCAGAGAAACCTATTGTTGAGAATTTCTCTCCCAGTGACTAATTTTGCAAAATGTTGCTTATGACTGTCTTTGACTCCAAAGCACTTTGTATATCTCGTACTACTTCATCTGGCTGAGGTACCCTTGCCCCACTAGGTGGCTCTCTAAGACACCATCCAATCCATTTTCTCATGTGGGCTCCACTGCAAGCATGCACTCATGATACCTTTGACCTGTTATCTATCATGTAGTGAATTCTTGAGTAACACTCTGGGTTGTAGCACGGCCACTTTTGTCTTCAAAGGCATGGTGAGTCCTGGTATCAGACCACTGTGTAACTCAGTGATCCTGATTAAGCCACTTCTACCCCAAGGAAAGGGAGCTTTTGATTCCTGTCTCCTCTCCTAGATTTTTTTTACTTGATGATTATGGAGGAAGGTGCTCACAATAACCTTTTTTTTTAAATGTTTTATTGTGAATTATATGATACTTTATATTGGAGAACATTAGTTTTTTTGTAAAAAAAAAAATCCTCTTCTGTTTCAACTTCTGGCTCTTTTATACTCCTAAAGGAGATGAATGGGTAAGGGTCACAAAAAACCACTTTTGATTGCCTCTTTGTGAGTCTTAAATACTGGTATTATGCTTCACTTTGGAACATATTGCCTCTATCATCTTAAGCTGATACTGAAACTAAAATGAGACCCATTTCATCTTGTTCTATGCCTATTTGACTAGCAGGTGGCTGTGCCAGTTTGCAGTTCAGGGGAGAGATTGGGATTGGAGATATTTGAGTCTACATTTGAGATTCATCCTTATATAGATTTTTTTTGAAGCCGTGAGCCTGGATAAGATCACCTGGGAGTGAATAGTGAAGAGGGATGAGAACTATCCAGGGGAAGCCCAGGAGTTAGAAGTTGAGAAGCTGAGCAAGAAAAATGAGAGGAGTGTCTATAAGGCTGAAAGGCAACCTGGAAAGTAGAATTGCCCCATGAAGAAATGTTTTCTTAAAAAGAGGGCATGTCTTTAAGAACTATTTATATGGGATGGAATTAACATTAACTCAGATGATTAGATGGAAACCTTAGTGGGTGGTGGGTTCATGTTAATGGGGGAGGAACCGCTCCAACCAGGTGAGGACAGTTGCACAATTTGAAGAATGTCACCAACGTCACTAAATTATACACATACTGTGCATGTTTTGTTATATGTATTTTTTCAACAACAACAAAATACATTTTAAAACATTTTAAAATTGTGTTTTGGGTGAAAGTTTACAGAGCAAACTAGTTTTGCATTCAACAATTCATACACATTTTGTTCATAACATTAGTTGCGATCCCCTCAGTGTAACAGCCCTTTTTCACTTCCTTCCTGGGATCTCTTTTCTATGTGCCCATCTTTCCTGTCTCTTCCTGCCTTCTTAGCTTTGTGTTATGGAAGCTACTGCCCTTTTGCTTTCAGACGGTTCATTATTCTTCCCAGGTGTCACTGTTCACTTTATAGGCCTGTCTGTTGTTTGACTGAAAGATGATTCCCAGGTGTGGTCTCGGTTCTAGGTTTGAAGGGTGTCTAACTAAAGGCCAGAGTCTCAGGGATTCTACCAGTATCTATCAGACCAATAAGTTTGATATTTTATGATTTTTAATATTGTCTAGGACCTTCTGTTGTGATAGCAATCAGAGCATTCAGTAGTGGTAACCAGGCATCATCTAGTTGTTCTCGTCTCATGTTAGTGGAGGCTGAGGTTCATTAAAACCCTATAGAGCAAGCACAGTTCTACACTGACATCCAGTGTTGCCATGGACTGGAATTGGCTGAACAATACCTTGTTGCCCTCACTCCCGTCCCTAAAAAAGGTCCTGATAACCATGACACATGCTGTTGAGAGTGCAAGTTAAAAAAATACAGGGACTGAGAATTACCCTTTGGATTAACAGAGATTTAGAAACAATAGGTGATTTTCATTAGCGAGGTTCCTAGTGAGCAACTGGAAGGACACTTGATTACAGCATGTTCACGAGGATTTGGGTGAGGATGTGGAAACAATAGATCACCCTTTTGAAGAATGTTGCTATAAAGACAACAGAGAAATGGGATGTTGGCTGGGGAAGATGAGGATAGAGGAAACTTTCTGTAAGATGCTAATACTATAACATATGTTATAATATCATAATAATATATTAGTATAATAATAATATGTTCATCCTGGTGTGGTGCTGTGGGTTAATGCACTGGACTGCAAAATTGGTTTGAACCACAAGGTTGGCAGTTCAAGCTGACCAGCTTTTCCTCGGAAACCCTATACAGGGTCCCTATGGGTCAGAATCGACTTGACGGTATTTAAAAACAACAGCAATAACATATATGTTTGCTGATAGAAGTGCTCCAGTAGAGATGATAAAATTGATGATTCCAGAGAGAGGGAGAGGGCATAATTGCAAGAGCACTGTTCTTTAGTAGGTAAGGAGGTAGGATCCAGGGCTCAAATGATGAGCTAGCATCAGGAGCTAGAACAGGAACAATTAATTCATTACAGGAGGAAAGAAGGCAGAGTACACGGACATAGATGAAGTTAGCTTGTTGATTTTTGTGAAGGGTAGATTGTTTACTTATATGCACTTGTGATAGTGAAGGTGGAGGATAGAGGTTTAGAGGGTTGAAGAGATTAGAAAAGATTGTTCTAAGTTACAACAATCGTAGTGTAAGTTATAAACAGAAACCAGATAATGTGGAATCAATTCAACTCCATGTGTGTCAGAGTAGAACTATCATAGGGTTTTCAGTGGCTGATTTTTTGGAAGCAGATTACCAGGTCTTTCTTCCAAGGTGCCTTGGGGTATAGTCAAACTTCCAAGCTACATGTTAACCATTTATACTACTCAGGTTGGTTGGTTGGTTATGTGCCATGGAGTTGGTTCTGACTCATAGTGACCCTGTACAGGGAGCAGAAAGCCTCATTTTTCTCCAGCGGAACAGCTGGTAGTTTCGAACTGCTGACCTTGTGGTTCACAGCCCGATTCGTAACCACTACGCTACCAGAGCTCCTTATACTACCCAGAGACTCTGTAAATTAGCACTGCAGATACACTGACATCTGAAAGTAGGCCCATAGGAAACCCCTCAAGCCATTATCATACATCAGTCAGTACTCTATCCCACACCTCATTGGTTGCTTCTGTCCCTGAGCCTTTGCAAGTTTCTGAATTCAGACAAAGTGAGGAGAGATTGAGGCAGAAGGTTTAGGTGGGACTCGGGTTATAAAATGAGCCATTCAGCTCTGGCCAGAGGCCTGGGCTTCAGGGGCAGGTCAGCTCACTTTAGCTGTGCCCGTTGTCCTTATGTCACACTCTTCTCTTTTGTCACCTTCAAAAGGTTCAAACAACCAAGGAGCACACACCCTGATCCTTGACTGATGAAAGAGGACATAAAAGAAGGCTGATTCTGAGAAAGCCAACTTGTAACAGGAATCATTCAGAGGCAGGCCAAGGAAGGCCCTCAAATTGTTAAACCTCTAAGAAGAGTATCTGCAATAAACTTCATTTACGTCTATGTTCAGTGTATGTGTGATAATTAAGATATCACAGTGTTGTTGTTGTGTGTCATCCAGTCTGTATAGGGTTTCTGAGGAGCAGCTGGTGAACTTGAACTACCTACTTTACAGTTCAAGGCAACCTTGCAGTTTCCAGTGCATTGACCCACAGTGCCACACCAGGACTCCAGATATGACAATAGCATGTCATATTGATAGTTATTGCAAATGTTTTTTTTCCAACAGTAGTTAAAGTTTCCCGAAAGATCCAAATAATAATAATAGTTATGTTACTATTTGCCCTTCTCAATTAATTTGGTTTATCCCTAGTTTGTAGCGATGAGAGCCCTGGGTTTTTTTGTTTTTTTTTCTTAAAAGATCAGTTAAATTGACAAACTTCTAGCAAGAGTAAGGTTTGTTTTTTAAGTTTTTTTGTTGTGAATTGAGTGAAGGCTTACAGACAAGATCATCAGTTTTACATTCAACAAACCACACACTGTTTAATCTTAATGATTGCAATCCCTTCCATGCAACAACAGTTATGTTGCTTCCTCCCTATGGTCCTATTTCCATTCTACCCTGCTTCCCATTCCTTCTCAACTTTGTCCTTAGGTAAATGTTGCTGTTTTGATGACCGTTCCATTGCTTATAGTGAGCATACCTTACTAGTGTTGTTGTCCCACCTATATATCTATCAACTGCTTGGCTGAAAGCAAGGTGAGTTCCTTTCCAGACCTGAAGAGTAGTCGAGGGTCCATAGTCTCAGGTTCCCCCAGTCTCTTTCTCACCAGTAATGTAGGTCTTTTAAAAAAATGATTTTGAGTTTTGTTCCACATATTTTGCCACTCTACTGGGACATTTTAACGTGATCCCTTTTCAGAGCAGTTGGTGGTGGTAGTCGGGCATCATCGATTTTTTTTTGTCTCAGAGTCATGGAGACTTATGTTCACATGTTCCATAAGGACACTGGACTAATTGATTCCAAGCATCTTCAATTCTCATCACTCTTCATTTTTCTGCAGCTATAGGAGAAACCCATAGCTGCACCTTAAATGGCCACTCATGAGCTTTTATGGTCCCAGACAAAGTAGGATGTAGAGCATTGTCTTTGTGGACTATGTTAGGACAACTGACCATGGTGTCCCCTGAGACTATGATCCTGAGCCCCCACCGCCTCAGGCCCAGCAACTCATTGCCTTAAGATATTTGATAATATCTAAGAGTTGTCATCATTTTGAACAGTGATTTTTTTTTTTTTTTTTAGAGGAGAAAATATACAAAATGTCAATGTCAGAAAATGAAGCAAGGGATATTACAACAGATCTCGAAGACATCTAAAGGAAAATAAATAAAGGACATAGTGGTTGAGTCGGGCTGTTAACATTAAGGTCAGCAGTTCAAAACTACTAGCCACTCCATGGGAGAAAGATGAGGCTTTCTGTTCCCATAAAGATTCATAGCCTTGAAATCCTGTGCAGCATCACTATGAGTTGGAACTGACTCCACAGCACACCACCACCACAACCACCACCATGAACACACATAAAGTTGACAACTTGAATTAAAATGGACCAATTCCTCAAAAAAACAAAAACAAAAAACTATCACAATGCACCCAATATGCAATCTATAATCTGAATAACTCTATAATTATTAAGGAATACTGGTATGGTGCTGCAGGATAATGTGTTTGACCACAGGTTGGTTTGAACCATATAGAAAGTGGTTCAAGCTCACCAGCAACCCTTAGGAACCCTTTACAGGGTTGTTATGGGTTGGAAACAACTTAATGGCACTTAATAACAACATAATTATTAAGAAAATTGAATTCATAATTTTGAAACTTCAAAAATGAAATTGCCTGCCCTAGATGATATAAATGGAGCATCCTACCAGATGGCTAAAGACAAATTAGTACCAATTCTGTACACTCTCTTCTATAAAATAGAAGAAGGAACATCTCCCAATTCATATTATGAAGCTAGTATTACCCTAGATGCCCAAACCTATCACTCGTCTATCAGTTTGAAATATTATGGTAGCTTGTGAATTGCT